CGGCAACGAAGCGAACGGAAAGTTTAGTCCTAATTGGGAAGGCCCATATCAGATTACAGATGTCGTCGGACAGGGGGCATACCGGTTGGAATCCATTGACGGTAAACAAATACCAAGGAGCTGGAATGCGCCAACGACCAAATAAGTTTCTGACCAATTGCAGGCTGTCAACATCAGAACAGTCGGAGCTAACAAATCAATAAAGGTAATTCTTAACCATGAAACGAACAAGTGATATACCAGGTACGTGACAACAGTCATAGTACGTATTGCCACGTTAGTCTGTTCACTCAATTTGACAACTAAAAGGGCATATCGTTAGGTAATAAACCTGACGAGATGAGTGAAACGGTCTGACTATAGACATGTTCTGACAATAGATATTTAGTATCATATACGTATTCTTAATTTATTACTTTCATATGACTATAAACGATCACTGACTTAAGCGTCGGAGGACCGTTGGCTAAAAGCCAATGACCAAACTTTGACAACATGTCTGTATGCAGGATATCGACGGAATGAGAGACGACCAGTACTATACACACACAACGATAACTGCTAACGGTAACTAGACGCAATCCCCTTACACGTTAAAACACAATTAACGGGGGGCTTACATGAAATAAAGCCTTACAACACGACAAAACACAATTGACGGGGGTCTGACATCAAACGAAGCCTTACAACACGTCAAAACACAATTGACGGGGGGCTTACATCAAACGAAGCCTTACAACACGTCAAAACACAATTGACGGGGGCTTACAGAATTTAATGGGAAGGGTTAGGCTGCCCATGAGAAATCATGGATCACAGTCCTAACAGAACCCATATAATACGTTTTGGCCAAAACAACAAACAGAACGAACATAAAAAACAACGCCAACGTCAAACATGATTGTGAGACACCAAAACAACAGACAGATCATACATCACAAATGCTGACAACATCAAAGTCAGACAAACACAAAGCAACAACAGTACACGTACAAATGACATCGTCATGTGGAACAACAACCACATTCAAAACTACAAAAATACGCAACAGAAGTCTGACGACATTAGCTCCAAAACATAAGGAGACACTACGAACGACATAAACACTCATGTTGACAATATTGATAAAATTACAAACGAAACGTTATTCAAAGTTTTTGCAGGTTATGGACTATGTTCACACAACACAACTCGTCATCTTTAACGACGGGTGATGTTCCCTTTGCCAGCTGAGGTGTCAACATGATGCTGTTACAAATTTCTGTCATCTAATCGTCAGCACAATGCTAGAGGGAAAGCATTTAAGTTAGACAAGTTGATCAATATGTAACGATGCATTGAACCAATATGCGAAGTGTACTTTCAAATTTTCGACAAGTCGTTGCTGAATAAGTCGACGGACGTGTGCATCATTCGCCCCAACTTCTCGAAAAGGGGGCAATTGTTGATACATGGATTTGATAGCTTGGACTACATTCAAAAAGGCTTGACCATGGCAATTAATTAGAAGTAATGTTAGCTAATTAATCTGAGCGGTTTAATGCATATAATTAGAGTAATTATTGTAATTATGACATAGGTTACTCAAAGGGCTGACCAGAATTGATGATGCAATAATGACGATATTGATGTCGTCGTAACGGTCGGGACATGTCGTCGCAACGGTCGGAACATGTCGTCAACGGACAAAAGTACATTAAATGCATCTCTTATAAATAGCTCAGGCTCTATGTAATCAGGACATTCAGTTACAAATACACACAAAAGAGCTCTCCTATTCTCTCTATTGGAGTTCATAGCTATTCATATTATATTCAAATTATCGATTATAGATAAATCCATTTATTTTATCTTGTCAATCATTCTTATTCGATCTTATTTGCTTGATTCCCAACTCAATTCCATAATCATAGATTAGTTAATTTCTAGTTAAAACAATATGGTTTACAAAATGAGCATAAAAAATTCAAAGCTCATTTGAATTCTCTAATGTGTTCAAATATTCATTTATGCACATATAATCACAAATATAGTAATTTTATGTTAAAATAATATAGTCTTTCGTTCTCGAATTACAAATATAATTGGGATTGGGTTGTTTTTATAATGTTTACCCAAGCATGTTTATTTTTCACTATACTCATTTTAATATAACACATAACTCATGTTAGTAATTAACACATAATATTTAATAAACTAATAAATATTCATTGTAAATTAAAAATAGAAAAATAATACAATAATACCTAAAATATATTATAATACAGAAATAAAAGAATAAAAGTTTGATTGGAAAAAGAAAAAGATTGAGTCACTTCATAATAATTGAAAATAAAATTAAAGTTGATGTTGCTAAGAAAAAAAAGCAGAAAGAGAACAAACAATTAAAAAGCAATAAAAGAAAAGGAGTAAAAAAAGGAAATCAGCATGCGGCAGAAATCAGGTGGAGTAGTGCATGCGGCCCAGGTGGAGTTAGAAACGATCAAGAAAACCCGGCGGAGTACTGCATGCGGCGGAAATTAGTGCCCAGGTTGATACGTACTGCAGCGGACAAAAGAAGTAAAGAACAACAACTAACATATATATTACCCTCAAAGTTGAAACTAATTTAAAAAAAAAACCGGCTGTACCATGCCCTAGGTACAGCCGGTTGTATGATATAATTTACCACAAGATGTCCAGCAAAATCCAGTGAATTACATTCCAGAATAGGGGCATATTTAGCCATGATAGGTACGCATGTAACTATCCAAAGATTACATGACAAAAGGGGTATTTTAACCAATAATGAGTAGACATCTAAATAAACAAGTATCACTTAAAACATTACGTGACAAAAGGGGGTATTTATACCAATGTTCAATAAACATGACATTAAATAACAAAAGAAATTTCACAGAATCCACTTTTATGGTGCAGTCAGTCTTGAGTTATAGTTTGCAGAACAAAACAGTATTGGTTCACCGAGTACGCGACATTCATTTTGCAGCACTTCCATGTTCTTTGTAGTGCCCACTTAGAGTACTTGTTCACTTGTTAGTCTCGGATCTAAAACGGTTTCTCTGGTCTCAGGTTCAATGTACACGCCAAAACCCTTATGCTTTCTTCTCTTCTTTTGGGGTCCATCATGTCCATCTTATGTTTGTGCTTTACTTCTTCTTTTGGAGGGTTTGGCGGAGGCAATCTGGTTATCTGTGGACGTGCTTTACTTCCTGAAATTTTAACCTTGATTTTTTTTTTTAAATCTCAATGTTGACTCTTGGAAGCTTTGATTGTAGTGTTGACATTTGGTGTTGGAGTTTTGGACTTTGAAGTTTGAAGTGGCTCAAATTTGCTCTTGAAAAAGAAAGATGGAAAAGTGTACACTTTTAAGCAAAGGTGGAAAGTGAGCTTCTTTAACTTTCCCACACCTAAACTTCTTGAGAAGTTTGAAGCCTATAAATATGAACCACTCCTCTCTTAGAAGTAAAAGGTGAAGGAGAATAGGGGAGCTCTCGCGCACACAAGAATTCCGACTTTCAGTTCAGAATCGAAAATTCGCACCCCCCTGCGCGGGCGACCTGCGGACACGATAGTCGTAAAATTCAACGGGTTTCAAAAGACAATTTTGCCCCTCTTTTTTTTTTAGTTTAACCCGGTTTTTTAATTTATGGGTAAGTCGCCAAATCGTTGGGCGACTTATAAGTCGCCATCCGGTTGGGCGACTTATACGTCGCCAAACGGTTTGGCGACTTTTCCCGACCAGGGTTAAGCCCAGCAGTATATCCGTAAATACTTTTAACTCGATCCTATTTTCGTAAATACTTAATTAATTAGCATTAATACGGAAAAAAACTCAAATTCATCTCAATCATCCAATATTACAAAATCAAGGGCCTCAATTGTTTGGGCCATTAATTTCATCCGGTAGTGGGTGTTGGAGTTTCCTATCTTTTAGCAACTACATTCGGTTAGTACATGGGGGAAGTTTCCCTATCTACCTATTAAATACGCGGTCATTTATATGGACGGCTAGGTTTAATTTGTATTTTGTAAATTATGATGAGTTTGTATGTGATCCTATATATCTATAAATCTATATATCTATATATCTAGATTTAGGCCATCAGATGCCCTTCCCGGTGGAATTTTTTGATGAATTTTTTTGAGTATGTTCATCATCAAGTCTAGTTTATCCATACTAACTTCCAAAAATCATTTCATTGCCTTCCCGGTTGCATTTTTAGTTGAAATTTGGTATGGATAAACTAGACGTCATGAAAAACATGCTCAAAAAATTTCAGCAAAAAATTCCAGCGGGAAGTACCCCAAATGGCGACGGCCGAACGGCGGGTCCTGTCCCTCCGATTGGACAGGATCATTACTCTCTCTCTCTCTCTCTATATATATATATATATATATATATATATAGAGAGAGAGAGAGAGAGAGAGAGAGAGGATTATTCCTGTCCGGAAATTCCGGACAGGAGCCCCGTCCGGCCTCCTCCATTTGGGGGCCTTCCCGGTGATATTTTTTGTGTATGTTCCCCATCAAGTCTAGTTCATCCATACCAAAGTTGAGAAAAAAATTCAATTAGGAAGGTCGTCAAATGATTTTTTCAAGTTAACTGGTCCGGAATATGTATAATCCAGACCAGTTAACTTGCAAAAATCATTTGACGACCTTCCCGATTGAATTTTTTGCTCAAATTTGGTATGAATGAACTAGATTTGATGAGGAACATACACAAAAAATTTGAGTCAAAAATATCACCGGGAACCACCTCAAATTGAGGTGGCCGGACCAGGGTCTTGTCCGGAATTTCCGGAAAGGAAGAGCTCTCTCTCTCTCTATATATATATAATTTCATTTTTTATAAACGTTGACCGTGTTGAGATCATTGACCGGATTGACCTCCCGCGACCAGGTTGACCCTTGACCCGGTCTCTTGCCGGGTCACCTCCAGGTCCAGTTTTGACAAGATAGCCGCACATAGCCTAAAAACATTCTAAAACAGGGCCTGGAATTTCCCTTGAAGTACGGAGTACGTACTACGTAACCCTCAGGCTCAGGCGCACAGCTATAACCCATCCTCAGTAAAGCCTGCGTTGAGCATGACAACCAGCTTCTCCACTTCTCTCAGAATGCGTTCCACGAGGACGCCGCCACCAGACATCCTCCGCTATATACTTTTACGATTGCCGGTAAAATCTCTCCTCCGTCTCCAAAGCGTTTGTAAAGAGTGGCGTTCGTTAATACAAGATTCAGATTTCAACCATTCATATTCTCACAAAGAACGACTGATTGTGGTATCTGAATCATCTGATACGCCGAGACATGCCAAGCTCAACAGATTTATCGTTAGTTCCGTTAACCAAAACTTTCAGCTTGAAAAGGTTTACTATTTCACAGAGCATTTGTCCCTTCTTAATGGAACATACTTCCATCGGCGTCATGTTCTGGGTTCTTGCAACGGATTGGTGCTTCTGTCGGTGGATACCCATATTTTTCTGTGGAATCCATCCACCCGACATTGTATAAAAGTGCTTGAACATGAATGCTTGAAATATTCTGTAAGAGGCTTTGCTTCAGGATTTTGTTATGACTCTTCCAGAGGAGACTACAAGGCTGTCCTATTACTTCCCCATTTTGTGATTGTTGCCAGCCTCAGACAGAAAGAGTGGAGACAAGTGTCCTTCCCTTATGACCTGCTTTCTCGCAGAGCATCCCTTCACTTTCGTAATATATTTCATTTGGCACTAAACGATGTAAGGTTTCAAGACTTCCGTTATTCAGGATGCGAGAAGATTGTGTATTTTGATCCGGTTAGTGAAAAGTTTGAAGTGCTTCCTACCTCTAAAGTTAAGGAGGGAGGAATCAACATCATAGGTGCTTTAGGAGTTATACAGGGTTGTCTTTCTATGGCTCTCTATGAGAATCATACTATAGAAATACTTACCATGAAGGAATATGGTGTTGCAGAATCATGGGTTACTTTGTATACTGTATCATGGCTTCAACTCCTTGTTGGCAGCTATTGCAGAGTAACGTTTTACTCTCTGAAGAATAATGTTCTCATTTGGTATTGGGGTGAAAGGAAGATATTTGTTATTGATATGATGACAAAAGAAAGACAGAATGTATTAGGCGGGATAAGAGATGAAAACATTGTTGATACTTGTTTGTATGTTGAAAGTCTCGCTTCACCTCATGAATATACTTGGGTTTATGAGCAGCACAAACACTTTTCCAAGAAGATCAAATGGATACAACCCACATTTGAGAAAATGAATGAAGTAGAGGAGGGACAACAATAATTAAAAGATATCATATTATATGAGGTGAGGCTCAACCAGATCGATGCATGTCATACTTTGTTCCATTTTTTTCCTAAGGTGTTAGATTGTTATTTTTTCCATTTGTAATCCTATATATTTTAGTTATAAGTATATATGAATTATATAAGAAATAATCACCATTTCTTTCCATGTTGCTGTTATGGCTATTTTAAAAGGGATAGGTCACGGGTATGTTGGACCTGAGCGGTATTGTGTGCTTAAAAGTGAACGATAAGCTACTTTTTATAGGGTTAATTAAATAGCTCTAAAGTTTTGACATTTTGAACATTAGTACTGCAATGGGTATTGAGCAATGAAAATATTTCAATATAGAGTCGTGAAAAGGCCCAAAAGGGGTCTGGATCGAGACTGCATAAAGCTTTAGAGTTTAGAGAAGTAGGTCGAAAATAAGGGGGGTGTCCTGGATTCGGATTCACGAGGATTTTAATGGAGTTTAGAATTCCGTCAGAATCCAGGTGTCCCCGATTTGGATTTCTGTGGAGTCCATGAAAATAAGGGTGTTCTCAAATATTCCATGGATTTCTATTGTTACTAATTTGGATGGATTTTAATGGATTTTGATGGAATTCTACATACAAAAACAATCCACCACAATCTTGTAGATTCCCCTCGGATTTCAAAATCCATTGTCATTTAAAATCCATCAAACTCATAATCCAAGACATCTTAGGCTTCTAGCAGATGATTGATAGTGATTATATTTCATTATTTCTAGATCATTAATTAACGTGTTTCATCTTTGATCAATAGATAAAATAAAGGCTTGATGACATCTTACTGAGCAATTCTTCAATAATGAGAGAATCCGAATTGTACTTTGTAAATGTGTGTCAGTAATGTCACTATGTGTTTAAAACAAAAAACAAAAGGAGTGCATTTTGAAAAGAATCGTATGCATGATGTAGACACATTGATATGTTCACTAATTAAATCTCAAATAAAACATAAATCCATAGTACTAACCAATGATCGTACCAATATAGTTTGGATCAGGATGCGCTTTTGCACGATGCCTTCTTGATTCATAACATGTTTTTGATAAAGTTCGGTTTGGAGGAAAACCATCAAAGATGTTGTTACTATTTCTAAATGTCTATATGTACTTTGTATAATCCTACATACATAGTATATAAGAGGCTAAGGGGGCATTTACTTTCAACTTAATGGTTTGAATGGAAACGACTTATTTGGTTAGCTATATATCCTTGTTTACTTAAAACTTATTGTAAATTATGACTTGTTCCCTCAAACCATTTTTGACTTAATTGTTCAGCTGAAATCAAGGTCTGCAACTAATTACTGCAGCGAAGTGAAGACATTGTGGCCTATCAACTCATCAGCCTGTAACAGCCTATTTATTCATCTCCAGCTCTCATCCCTCCATCGCTCACCTTCTCCATGCGTATTTCATATTTTCTCTTTACTTTGCTTTATATTCCCCCTAATAAGAGTTTATCCTTGTTCTCTATCATACTTTTCACTACCTAAATTTCAGCAAAAAATTCCAGCGGGAAGAACCCCAAATTTTTATTTTTTTAATTTACATATGTCGTATGGTTATATTTCATCTTAGATGTTCAATAGTTTCATATTAGAGGTTCATGAATGATTTTATGATGTGTTCTTCGTTAGATGTTGTATAATTTAGTTATTTTTCATAATACTTAATGCACTTTGAATATAAAAAAACAGGGATTGAATGTAATATGCAAAATGTATTATCCCAAATTAAGAAAAACTGAAAAAGTAGTTCACAGAGGAGTCTAATATAATTGGTATGGTAGGTTTATATTTTTCTGCATTTCAGCATATATGGTTTATGGTTAATGTTATTTATGTTTGGTCTTCAAAAAGAAGTAATAAAAAGTTTAATACATTGAAGAGGATAATTTCCTATGACAGGTTGATATGCGTGCATTTTTTATCATATATCATGCATTCATGTGATTTATGCATTCAATTGTATTTTAAAACTAGTATGTTGCCCGTGCGATGCACGGAACATAAAATTCTCTTAGTTTTCTATGGTATTTTTAAAAATTAGAAAAATTCTTAAAGAAAGTTAGGATTACATATTTTTTAAATGTGATCAAAGATTGAACATACGTAGTATATAATTAAGTTGGTATACCAAGTACAAATAAAAAACTAAAATTACTATATCACAAAAAATACTTATTTTGGAAAATCTCTAGAAGTACAGTATTTATTGTGAAACAACGTAAAGTAACATTTATGTGTGATAACTCGTGAGATACCAAAGTATATAGTAAGAAAGAGCTAAAATGAGATACTAAAGTGTTTGTTTCCTCACAAAATTGAATTTTTTGGTACATTGAAAGACAAGGTGCCAAGTAAACTCACTCCTAAGGTTTCATTCATTTTCCTTCATCTTTTGGAAATACGTTGTGATTATGACCTTTCGCGGTATACTACTCAAGGTTCTTTCTTTTTCTTTATCGCCGGAATTAAATTCAAAAGATAGTAACCGTACCTCAGCATCATGGAAAATGCATTCCAATGAGTTTATCACATTTTTGTTATTGTATACTCGGAAACCATAAGAACGAATCAGCCCAACTCTTAACGCCCAACTTGTCTTCAAAGTGCTAAGTTTGCAGATTTTGTTTGCCGGAATTGCTTCTAGATTGGGCAACACTTCTGCAACAAAAAACATTTTTCATAGCAAATTGCAGATAACAAATAATACTTGAATTCAAGAGGACATGAATATGAAATACTTCAATTCATAAAATGGTTGAATACTTCAGTGAGTACAATTTGACCAAACTAAATGAAATTAGATAATGAAGAATGGGAGTACCATGTGCCACGCTGTCATTGTGAAATACGATATCTCAATTGGGTTGTGTCGTTGTGAACGTGTCATTGTGGAAACTACCATGTGCCACGCTGGTAACATACGACATGAATTAATACAATTTTTCTTTTTGTTTGCTCGTAATTTTGTTTCACACATTTGTTCTTCATTTTCCAGGCAGTTAACTTTGTACTCCGTATAATACACTACGTATTTGGCAGGCGGGAACAATTATCTTTGCATGGCCACGTGAATAAATACTCCACATATTTTATAAATGGCAACAATTATGTACAGACGATTGTGTTTATATATATATAGATTAATAATAAAAGAGAAATACTAAAGAGCCCCCAAAATGGGGTACCTGTACTTATCCCGGCCTAATGTGTGGCCACAAATGGGGAAACATTCTTATCCCATTTGAAGCAAGAGCACTTCAGTATACCTATCACACCTAGGTGAAAATTCCAACATTGTTAATGCTCCCCACCCCATTCCGACTTTCTTCCGCTGCTGCCAGTGATTTAGCCATAATTTTTTCCTCTATTTTGCATTTTTCTTTCAACACAAACCATATAGATGCCAACTGTACTCCCAATTGAACAAATACACAAGGTCGAGGAGTGTAGATACTTTTCGTTTCTATATTTTGCAAATGAATTCGATGCATATGTATTTGATGCCATCTACTTTTTAGTGAAACATATGAATTTGAAAGCAAGGTTTTTAGTCCTAGAATAGATGGCTCCTTATCCATTTGCGATACAAAGATATGTGGTGATTGCTTGTTTTGACGTTCATAATTTTATTAGAAAGTCTATCATTGATGATGATTTTTTCAATGAATGGGATGATGACACTATAATCAACAATGAAGCACAAGAGGAATGTGAAGATAATGGAGAAGAAGTACATGTATCACAATGGGCTACACAAAGTCTATGATGAATTTGCGGGGCTAATAGACTAGTAGGAAATGTTTAAATTGAAAATGTTGTTCTTGTAAAATGTTTGACTTTTTCTTATCATATAATGTGTCTTTTTTTATATAACCCATACGGAGTAGTATTATTACTATTCTCAGGCATATGAACTTATGTTTCAAACCAAGAAAAATAAACAGACTATACATTCAGCACTTGTTCCGGAAAAAAAGGTTATTTGGTCATTGACATGATTCAGACTTCTCATTCAACATATTACTACCTCCGTCCCAGGGAGAAGTTCCCAATTTCCTTTTTTGGCAGTCCCAACAAGAAGTTCCCATTTCCCTAAATGGAAAGTTATTCTACATCAAAACAGTGCCAAACAGTGCTAAACAGTGCAAAACAGTGTCGAAACAGTGCCAAACAGTGTCGAAACAGTGCCAAACAGTAAAATTTACCCCCCAGTAACTTTATTTCCTTAATATGTGTGAAAGTCAACCCGGAAACTTCTCCCTGGGACGGAGGGAGTAGTAAACAGTTTGTTATCTCACAGTCATTTAATCCAGACATACAATTTAATGCAAACAGAAATCTTAATCCATTTATGACTTAATGAAAATAAAAGTAAACAACCCCTAAGTTATGATGTTATTATATTCTAATCCAGTTTACCGTCTTACCACTCAACCATTTGTCACTCCACTTTTCTGTACAAGTTTTACCGTTCTGTGCCAGAGGATTCGTCTGTTTCACTGCATAGAAAGAAGTATGGGTTGCTTCTCTATCACACACCCTCTTTCTGTCTCTTTAGTATACACATTAGGCCTCATCCCCCCATCCCACGCCTATTTTGTTTGCTATTTCTTGTGCTCATAGATGGTGTCAATATTTCATCCATTTTCTGGTGATTTGAAAGGCTTGGAATTGGAGAACTTGATATGAAACTCGGGAAATAAATTAACTTGACATTGATGATAAGGAGTTTGAAGTTCGCATTAGAATAGTCGAGTAGATATATATTCTCTCAACTCATGTTAATATTATATCTTTACCTTTAGTTTTTGTTTCCATGAGTATGTTTGGCACAAGTAGCTGAAAAAAATACTTTTGTGAGCTTTTTACTAACTGTTAGCTTTTAGTCCGGTTTGATATACAAGCTGTTAGGACTAATTAGTACTAAAAGTCACGGGCTTTTCTCAGATGCTACTCCCCGTAGCATATAAAAAAAGATCTTTTAATTTTTAAGAAACTCTTAAAAAGTGTTATGCCAAACATCCAA